ATGTTTTATAATTATATTTAATAGTAATCAGAACTTAACGAGTCGTGAGTTGTTGTGCTGACTTGTTTTTTAATAAAGTGGCTTTATAGATGCAACTAGAGATGGGTAACTCACTCCGGACTTAACACTCTGATATAACTCCTCCCTCGGAGTGAATCCGAGTGGAGTTGTCTCACAGGATTTGTCATATCCGACTTCCCTAAGCTGGTACTAAATCTGTTAACATGTTCAGATATGTGCTTCAGATTTTTTACTAATACAAAGATTTGGATCGAAAGAAGTGGTTTTTTCTCGTCTCACAGCCAGTTTTAAGACTTTCTAGGTACATAATGTCTCAAAATAATGCTATTTTGTATTCTATATTTTGTATACGATAATGTTTGTTCGTAAATGAGCTCTTTGAATGGTATATAACCAGCTAAAAAATATTTGGTATTATATTATAACTTTTACACAATTATGATTTTATAATTGTGTAAAAGTAATAGTATGCTAATCAAACTACCTGATGTATAATTAATTCTCGAAAAGGAAATAATATAAGAATGTGAGATATTATTATTTTGTGAAAAATATTATATTAAAGACTTGTTCTTATTCCGTATATAAGATTCACTGCATTATTTTCCTATAAAAATAAACATATTCAAAGAATTATATATTTTCTCTTAAAAAATAATTACAAAATTAATTTTGATTCCCAAGTTTGTCAATTTAAGGTTTGTATGCATATTTAAATAACTAAAATAGTAATTATTATAATAAAAGGAACAAAAATGTTTGAACCATTTGTAAACTATTTCCAAAGTCTAAATAAATTATCATTAATAAAAAGTATTGATTATTAATTATTATTAATAAAAAGTATCGTTTCAAAGTTGTCGGAGTTGTGAAGTCAAATCCTAACCGATCCGGCCTCCGATATGACAACCCCATCTTTAGATGGAACCCAAATGGTTGTCCTACCTATACGTGATGAATTTATTTCTATACAGATAATATATTTATTTTAGGGGTACAGCAATATCATTCTTGGCACCATATTGCTATAAAGGGTATCCCAGACCTTAACGTAAAGCCCAAACGGGATGATAAAGGTGATCTTAACTGCCCTGATTTTTTTTTTTTAAATCTCACTTTGTTTGAAAATTGTGAGCTTTTAAGTGCAACCAGCACTTGTGTAATTTAAGTGCTTGGTAATATTATGACTATTTTTCGGTTATTGTAATTATTTTTTTACTTATGTCCATAACATTTTTGTTTTCTGAACGACAGTAAATAATAGTAAGACTCAAGTTTTTCAAAATTGAAATTTTTTGTGTACTGTGATATTAAAATTTTTATAATCGGTCGACTTCAAAAGGATCACTTTTAAAAAAATATAGTAAAGTGTGCTTTTAATAAAGATTCTAAACTGGTAAAATACTTGATAATGTGATATTAAATGCATTTTTAAAGGGTCTCTTAAAGCCCGATTTTAAATTTATATTTCAACAAAAAGTCTTAATTGTTGAAAACTTGGGTAATTGTGTCATTGTTTTAGCTCTGGTTCTAAAAATGTTGTTCTCGGTTACCTAAGACACATGAACAAAAGTAATAAAAATTAACCACAATAACCGAAAAATGGTCAAAATCTCATCGAAGGTCAAGGTTGCCCTTAAAAGCTCATAATTTCGAAAAAAGTTAAATAAAAAAAAAAAAATTTCAGGACATTTAAGGCAAGATGACATTATTTTTTGAATTCAAACGCTATTTGGATTCAAAAAAATAAGTTTTTCATATGAATAATTTTTTATTAATCAAAATTGCAAACTGTTGTTTCTATATGTTTCTATACTTTTTTAAATCTTGGATTTCTATTCATCCAATTTTCCAAATTGGGAGTTTTGTTCCATCAGGGTTTCTGCCAAAAATAAATATTTTGATAACTACGTTACTAAATTATTGGTTAAAAAAGAAAGCTATGTACAACTCACTTTGTACAATTTTTGAAGTAAACCTTCTTTAAGCGCGACTAGGATAAATCCGTACAAATGCAACGGGAAATTATAATTTTCAAAAAACTCGGAAAACTCGAGACAAAAGGTCCAAATCCGGAACAAATATTGCTTTTAGAAAATTTCGGGACACAAAGTGAAAATCCGGGACTGTCCCGCCTAAACCGGGACATATGGTCTAAGCCTAAGGTGACCTTAGTTAAGGTTAATACTAACACCCCATTTCAGCTAGACGTTAAGGTCTGTGACATGTTTTATCACTGCTGCTTGACATCAGAATGTCCAAAGCGGGTATCAAATCAAACCCTTCACATACCCTATCTATAGCTCTAACCACTACAAACTAAGAAAACAAGGCACTTGAATTACAAAATTTCATGTAGCAAAAAATGAGATTAATATCATATGTTAAATGTACCTTTAAAGAGCTAGTTTTGCGGTCTAATTTCTAAGGCGTATATTTAACTACATTAACTGTAAATTGATATGAAGAAGACCGAAAATATTATTTCTTAACGTCTGTTACTATTACTCATGTTTCTTGTTTTATACTACAGCAGGTGTAAGAAACTTTTTAGAACGCTATTTAAAAGTATGAATTTTGAACACACTTTTTAAATATCCCTCACATGTTTTTGTCTGAAATAAATTATATCCAAACATACATTTTCATTCACATACTTTTTTGAGCCAAAAAATCATCAGAATTTATACAATCCTGAACTTCTGGTCACTAGAGAAGCTTATTACTAGATATATTATTATTAGATAATTAATAGAGATAGATTATTACTAGATATTACACCCATGCCACTTCAACAAATTTACTCATTTGATCTTGAAAAAAAAATAGGTGCATATTATTCTAAAAACAAAGAAAAAATATTTATGAAATTGTGTACCATATGTATTAGTGCACTGAAGGTTGTTCTCCGCCTATATTTTAAATTTTCGTTATTGCGTCCACCGGATATGAAACTACTCATATAATATACATGGGATAATTATAATCGTAAAACGGCATCACTTCCTTCTGTTGTATGTTTTCTTATTGCAAAACATTTTCCAGTTGCTGCATTTCGTAATAGAAAAAAAGACACTGAACGTACATTTTTTTTACATATAACGGAATATCACATGATTTTGGAGATAAAAGTAAATAAATTCTAAGATATATACCATTGCTAAGTAGTAACAGTTTAAATTCTCATTATACTCAAAAACAAGAAAATTTTATTAAGCCTTAGCTAATGGTTTACAAAATAATTTTCATCATCTGAGCAGAGGATTTTCGGTCTCTGTCATAATAACTTTCTTAACTAAGGGATGGTGATAAATTTTTGGACAGCTCGTATTGTTATAGCATTATCAAATTTTAGACTAATGTTACTTAATTTCAACCTGTTAAATGTTTTGCATAAACATTTGCTTCAAATCCTGGATTTATGTCACTAAATCCTAGATTAGTGCCATCAATTCCTAGATTAGTGCCAACAATTCCTAGAACCAATTCGTCCAAATCTTAAAATACTAAAATCGTAGTACAAATCTTATAATCGTACCACGGAATTTTAATATATAGACACCAAAACTTAGAATCGCTCCGTCAAATCATGGATTGGAATTAGGGCCACCAAATTATATTGTTGTGCGAACAAAACTCAAAATATTGCAATCAAATTCTAGAATCGTGCTATTATATCCTAGAACTATACCACCAAATCCTAAGATTCTAAGATGGCTATTCCTATTTCCAATCCTAAAGTCGCGCCAACAGATCCTAAAAAGAGCCTCCAAATCCAAAATGGAGATATCGAATTACAGAATTGTGCCTCAAAATCCTACAAA